TAGAGTCCATGAAACAACTTTTAACTTTCCTCAAAAGGCTACAAATTATGTCCATTAGCTATCTAGAGGGATTGAGTAAATATATATCACAAGCTGGTTGGGAGAAGAGAAAGTGGGAAAGAAGCATAAAAATTGTATCAATATAAGATCAAAGCTCAATCCTCAAACAGCTTTCAAGCAGAAAAAGTAAGAAAACATATCAAACAGAACAAAACCACCTGCCTCAGTTACTTTGCTTAAATTCTCCCCCTCATAAACTCATTTTAAGAGGAAAACACACATACAGGGAAAGAAAACATGGTTAAATCCTATGGGGAAGTCAATATTTTATGCTAATTGGTCTCTGAAATGATCTTTTGAATGGAATTTCTAGAAAGGTATAACTTGTAAGAATAAGGTATTCAGAAATAAAAGTTTGTAAGATTGCTCCAAGAGTTAGTTAAGGATAGAGATGAACTTTACGGTTGTTCACTCAAAAAATGAGCCAGCTTCCAAGGTAATGCATTTATCAGCCAGCATAATGCAAAAATATAAAAATTTAATTGTAACCCAGAACTTCCCTCACTATGGAGCATGCAGTCTTAATAATTCCTATGAAATCAGTTCACCATAATTTCAGTTTTAGTAACAGTTGGAGAGATCAGAAAAATATAAATATATTATAAAATCTGAAAAGCAGAAAAACAATAGATTGGAATCTCACCAAGTTCCTCTGTATTACATCCTAAAAAGAAGACATAATAAAATCTTGAGTACTGATATTCTATCATCAAAGATAATTTTGGAATAGTTATGATTAGGCAATATATGCTCAGTCCTAAATCTATAACTTCGCTGCCAGTAAAAGCATTTGGGAAACTTGGAATGCAGAGACAGCAGTCACTTCTTGTAGTTATAAGGTAGATGTCTAAACTTTAACACTGTAGACAGTGATCAGAGTGAAGCAATGCATTTTATTGCTTCTTCTGCCTCCATTTCTTTAAGCAAAACCTGGCTAAGACTTCAAAAAAAAAAAGTTTCCAAAGGGGAAAAACCTCAAAAAAAAAAAAAGAGAGAGAAGTTTCCAATGAAAAACAGCCCAGGGGTAAGCTTGGGCAACAGCTCACATTACACGCAGAAGAAAATGTCCTGTGGTGAGTCTTCTTTCTATTTACCACATTCCCTCTCAGGTTGCTATATTTTATTTCACACTTTTTTGACTGTCATCCATCAGAAGGACAATTCTATTCTTTGTTGGATAACTGGGCTATGCTTCCAAAAGTGACAAGCACACTGAAATAGAAGCTGCAGCAGAGAACCAGGTCACAGATGTGAATGAGAGGCCGAGAAACAGCTCTGAAGTGTAACATGCCAAGAAATACTAGATGTAGCTGATGCAGAACAAGCAGGACACAGTAAGGATAACAAAGTTTCATACTCAAAAGAGTAGAAAGATCAAACGGAAGAAATAACAAACATTTTTAAAGAAACTAAGTATTTTTTACTTTTTAAAACAGTGTATGATTTATTTGGGGGGAAAAAAGTCTCCTTGAGTCAAAATAGCTGATGACAATCTGTGGATAGGCACTGGAATTAACACAGTAGAGTTTCCTGACAGGTGTTCTTTTACAACTAGATAAAAAATCTTTTATAATCAGAAAATCAATTTTTATACGAATATGGATGTCAAGTGAAGTTTAAGTATGTAAAGACACTTAAATAATATTCCCACTTACTCGCTTTCTGAATTTTTCTCTCTTCACTTGAAGGAAAAAAAAATAGGAAGGAAACAAGGGAAAGCAGCTCAGCATTATGAAATCTGTGACTACATGTGGGGTTAAGAAGCATTCCAGCAGATTTCAAAAAAGAAGAAAAAACTTTTAAGTGGCAGAAACAGTTATTTTGTAATATGCATGCACTTGGCTTTTGACTCTTTAACCTACACACAAAGTTAAAATTGTATCAGCTCCAGGAGTTCCTAAAGACTAAACAAAAAATGTTTACTATAGAAGTCCCAAAGGAAAAGATCCTACCCACCAATGTCAAAGCAAAAAATTTATCACCCTGATTCTTCCTTTTCCCTTACCTTCCATTTCTTCCTATCAAGTTGTCTCAGTTTTACTTCCAAAATATTTCCAAATCATTTGTTCATCTCTACTGTCACTGGGAAGTCCAATCCAATTCATTTTTAAATTAAACTTCTATAACAGCCTCTGAGCTGATCTCCTGGCTTCTACTCTTGTCCTCCTCTTACTCCATCTCCCTAAAATGATCTTAACTTAGATATCATCATGCCATTTTCTCCTAAACCTTTACACATTTACCATTTCACCCAAAATGAAATTCAGACTCCTCTGTGATCTCCATGATCTAGATTGTGCAAGCTCACCTTGTATTGCTCTTCTTCTCCACTGCTCATCCTCTCCTCACACATTCCAGATATACCTATGTTTTTGACCCTTGCCTAAGTAACACTCTCATACTTCACGGCATTTGCATTTTCTTTTAGAAAGATCTTCTTGGAATTTTGTTTTTAATTTGAAGAATACATTGATATTAAAAATTCAAATAACACCAAAAAAGCAAATGGAAACAAATGATAACTTAAAATTCCAAAGTCTAGAGAAAATTACCATTATTATTTTGAGGATAATTTTGAGGATATTTTGAGGATAATTAATTTGAGGATAATCCTTTCCTATATCTCTCTGTGGGTATATGTGCTATTCTACATTGTATATATAAATAATCTTCCATATATTCCAACTCTTTCCATACTGGTTCTCTCTCATACTTTAGTTCTCACCTCAAATACCAGGTCCTCAAAAGAGGCCTTTTGAACCACTCCTCTCTATGACATCACCTGTTTATTTCCCTCATTGTACTTATCTTTCTCTAAATTAACTGTGTTTGTTTACTTGACTCTCATTTTTTGTCTGTCCAACCCCAAAAGAATGCAAGCTCCATGACGACAAAGATATTATCGCTGAGGGCTAGCTCCAAACCTAATACACTGCAGGTACTCAATATTTACTGAATGAACAAATGATGGCTTTGACTAATATTTACATACTGCCAAATCCTAAATTTGTACCTTCTATTCAAATTTCAACCATCCCACTCGGCAGCTCTATCTGGATAGAACACAAGTATTTTGGTCTCAGTGGGTCAACTACCTGCTCCCCCTCATGTTGTTGCATATTCAGATGAATGACATCAACCAAATTTCCCAAGCTATGAACTTCAATTTTATCCTTGATGCAATTCTTCCCCCTCACCCCATATCCAACCAATCACAAAAAACCTCTCCATATTACCTCAATTCTACCTCCTAAATCTCTTCAACCCATCCACTTCATTCAGACCATCTGTTCCTCTCCAAGTTGCTACCACCATTCAAGTGCAAATTACTGTTATTTCTCTCCTGGACAGCCACGATAACCTTTTACCTTGCTGCTCCAGATCCACTCTTACCCTCTCTAATTTACTCTCCATGCTGTAGCCTCAGTGGTATTTTCAAGATAACAATACAATCACATCATACTTCTTCAAAGTCTTCAGTGGCTGCCCACTATTCTTAGATTAAAAGCTAAAATCCTTATCATGGACTATAAGGCCCACAGGAAATATCCCTCACCTAACCAGATTTTTCTCCATAATCCAGTATTCAGCTTTCTTTCAGTTCTTTAAACCTACATGCTCTATCTTCCCTCGGCGTCTTCACATATGCCGTTCCTTCTGTCTACTACACTACCTACCCACATCACACCACCCTTGCTACACATATTCAACCTTCAGATCTCAAACTCAAACATCACTTCCTTCGAAAGGCTGCAGTAGGCAGGATTCTAAAGATATCCTCCCTCTCTCTCCCCAATATTTCATTCTCTGGTTATACAAACAGTTATCTAGGTACTGCTATAAAGGGGTTTTGCAGATATAATTATTACTCAATTGATTTTAAGATAGGAAGATTAACCTGGATTATTCTGGTGGATCTAATATAATCAGCTAAGCCCTTAATGCAGAAGTTTCTCCCAATCAAGGGCAAAACAGGAAATCAGAGAGAGACAGCAGAAGTCAGCCAACACCTCGTTTGGGCCTAGAAGCAGATTCTCCCCACCAGAGACTCCAGGCCAGCTGATAACTGATTTAAACCCGCAAGACCCTAAGCAAAAAGTCCAAACTACCTGGACTTCTGACTTACTTCTGTGATATAATAAATGGGTATTACTTTAAATCACTAAATTTGTGGCAGCAGTAGTAAAGAAAACAAAGAACTGACCCCCACCTCCACCTCTCTGTCCCCCACCTCCAGTCCAGACTGTGTTAGGGACCCTGTCAAATGTTCCCAGACCATTTGACACTCTCATAATACTCATTATACTTAATGTATGTAGTCTAAGATCTATGGACAAAGGTTTAGTGTTTTTGTATACCATAAACCACAATAATCCAACATCTACACAATTGGTACCTATAAACATTTGCTGACTTAACAAATTTTTCACTCAACTTTCTGTCAAAATTTTCAATCATGACACACCTCCTGTAAAGTACTATATTACAAAATATTTCTATAATAAGGGTCAATTGCTTTATAGCAGTTACTAAAAAGAGGGGAATAGTGGGAGAATGGAATACATTCAGAATCACTGGGGCAATTGTTCTTTTTGTTTTATAAGCATTCCCTCACTTACCATTACCCACAATCAGAAATGCCCACTCCATGCCCAAAACTCCTAGGGAGCATGACCATCTATTAGAGAATCACAAAAAGCTTACCATATAGAACCATTATTACAAATGTCACTGGGTCATATTCCTCAAGTATACTGGACTGTAAACAAAGGTTTAGAACAACTGTTCTACTTTTTTAAAGAAATAGTTTTCAAACTGCAAAAAAAAGGAAATTTATTCAATCTGCAACAGTACTATATTTCATAATAAAAAGAAACTGACTATATTAAAACTATCTAGTCAGAAAGAAGAAAAGTCAACAAAAAGAATATTTTACTTACATTAACGGGAAAGCAAAAAATGGGAGTGTCATGGCAAGTCTTGCTGTAAGTTCATCCGGAAGATACCATAAGTATACAATTAAACATGTAAACAGATAGAGGACTGAAGAGTACAAAATTAATCTTCCAACCCATAATTTTTGTAATCTCTGATTTTTTTCCCTAAATTCTTCCAATGCTTGGATTTCCTGTGAAGAGAAAAATTCATAAAGAAAATAAACTGTTTAAAAAAAATTTAACATGATAGAGAAGTTATAGAGAAACCACCCTTAAAATTCAATGAAATAGAATACCCTGATATCTGAAACAGAACATAATATGAAAAGACAATTAAAAATGAAGTTTAAAATATATTAAAATTCCTAAAATGATTTGACAAATCTTTTTATGCAAGATATTTAAAAATACTTGATAACCTATCAAACTAGCAAAGCTTAGAGGTATAAAATTGGCATCAATAAACAGTATTTGTTAAAACAAACAAGTAGTAATTCTCCTTGTATAAGGCCAAAAAAAAAGTGACTATAAAAAGGATTAATAAAAATTGAAACAGTGATCCATACTAGATTCCCTCAATCTATTCATCATTCTCAATATTCCCAAGGAATAAGTATTTTTTATGATAGAAACTGTAAAAAGCTGTGAAGTTTGCAAACTGATATAAATAGTTGCAGACTATTTTATAATCTACTTATCTATAATGGTGTAACATTGATTTACACCATGCCGTAGATCTAATTTCATTCTAACAGTCATTATTACTTGACACAGAGTTCTTAAGTCACTGATAAGACTTTGGACTTTAACATGAAAGTTCTCAGGCTTACTGTATATCACCTCTAAATTCCTATACCAGATCTAGTCTCCAAAGTAATATATACTGAAATAATATTTATGTAACACCCCAGAGCCAAAGAACGTACCTTATCTATATTTTCCAGAACCTCTACAGTGGAAGGTTTCGTCTGTTATATAAATAGAAATAGCTTGTTATTGCTAACTTGGAAGCACTTTGACTTTTTTAATCATAAAAGAACATTTTAATCCAAAACTAAGTTTTTTCAATATTATCAAGCAATATGTATTCCTGTTTATTTACAAACGAGATTTAGATTTAAATAAAAATTATAAGTATAAACAAAATTACACAAGACTAAAGAAATAAGAAATAAGATGCTCCTATTTAACTTATTTTTAGGCCCAAAAGTACTTTCAACTCTGTAGCTCAATGTTTACCTTCCTTAACTCCAATAAAACATACTTAGAAATTACTGAGAGATAATTTGCTTTTCTTAGATATGATTATTCAAAAGAATTATATTAAATTATTATAAATTATTAATTCTAAATAATTATAATCAATTATTATAACGATAAATTCTATTTTAAAATTCAAAACTAAAGTTGTTCTGATCTACTACTGCTAAAAGTTCACTTAGGACGCTGGGGGTCAAAAACCAATTAGCTACCTTCACTCTGAATTCCTAAAGTACTTTTCTGAAGATCAGATTTTTAAAGGGCATCTAAGAATACTTCATTACAACAGAGCTTGTTTTTCAGAGACATTTTTTATATCACCTAAAATAAAAATTAGCCAAAATGGCTCACATAACACTTGAAAAAATAATTACTAATTATATACTCAACCATCTAACAGGGTAGTGATAATCAATTCAATTGTAGTGCCCACAGGAATTATTAATATTAGATTAAACCATATGAAATTGCTGTTTATGTAGTCAAAAACTGTTGAAGACTGATAATTTCATATGGTTCAACCTAACAAGAAAGACAAAGGAAAAACAGATAAATTCAATTATCAGGTTTTAAAGGGGGGGTGAGGGAGGTGGAGACTATCAATAAAACGTCAATCCAAAGCAAAGCAGGTCCAGAAATAGTTCAAAAACTAAACTGTATATCAAGTACTGCTGGATTCCATTATTATGGTAAAAAGGAGTAAAAAAAATAGGCAAAGCAGTTTGTCCTAGACTACATTACCTTCTCCTATATTGAAGAAGAGCATTTACCAATATATTTTATAACCCTAAATTTAAAGACTTAGCCAATAAAATAAAACTCTATTTTTAATTGTGTTTAACCTAGTAATTCCTAAAAGTACATCTAGTATGACTTCAGTAAATATTTGTGATAAGCTTTAAAAAAAAGATACAACCTATAAAAACATTAGGTACTGCATAGAATAATTTCAACTATCTTTCAAGTAAGATTGAAATTTAGGTACTACGAAAACAAAAAAAGATAACCATTTGCACATGAAGGTATAAAGAGAGAAATAAAAATAATTCATAAGTCAAAGTGAAATAATCCTGTTAAACAGAGACATGAGATACCTATAAAGCAAGTATAACCATTAAAGTCCAAATAAAAAACAAATTCACAAGAAGGAAAAAAAAATTAAATAGTTAGGGATAATATGAAACTACTACTCAAGTCTACACCACAAAGGAGACCTTTACAAATAACTTTATGGGACACTTTTACATTAGACTAGGAACTATTGTAAAGAAAACTAACTTACCCTCCATCGAGAAAATAATCCACCCATTTTTCATTTGTAGAAACTGGGCACAATAATAAATATCATCAGTTGTCCAAAGGAATTCACAGCTAGAAAGAAAGCAATTATTTTTAAAGTTTAAGTTAAATATACAGCATACTCACTATAAAATTTAAATGTTGCAATACTATAAAATAAATAAAATACTATAAAATATTAATTTCCTTGGATTCCACTTATGTGAGATTTTAATTCAGATAGACTTGCAGATAGTCCACCTTTTAAAAAATCTTTCTTCCACGGCAGAATATATTTAAAAGTGAAAATAAAGCTGGAAGGACTTTTTAAGTAGCGAGGCATTTTAAAAGTGTTATTTGTACCACTTTGCAATTTTCTGTTCCTTAAAGTAGGTCCCCTATGCTGTTCTTGCAAGAAAAGTTCTGCTATACTTTTATTCTCCAGTCTTAAATACAGCCATCTCTATCATTTGGCTGTCTCCCAACTAAACTAGTTACTTGGAGTTAGGGGTGCTCTACAATGTTCAGAATAACATCAATTTACAATAATAGAAAGCCAACTGGATTCTAAGTAAGAAAATAAGGGTTACAAGGCTACCTGTGACAATGAGCATATCATTTAATGTTTCTGAGCCATAATTTTCTTTTCTGTACATTAAAGTTAATAATATTACCACTTTTCACAGAATAATCTTCATTACTACCATTTCACAGATAAGAAAATTAAGTGGAAAGAAATCAAGTGATTTGTCCAATAACTCAGAAGAAACATTACCCAAAGGTACTCTATCTTCAGACTCCTGGTCTGTCCACAACCAGTCAACACCCAAATAAGCACTTCTCTCTGAAACTCTGTTGAGTCCCTCCAGTTAGTTAAAGTGTCATGTCAGGTAGTTGCATCTCCTAGCCCCATCTTTTGGTTGGTTTTCTATGACTCTCAAATGTATGCGATTCTCCAGGCAAGAATACTGGAGTAGGTTGCCATTTCATTCTCCAGAGGATCTTCCCAACCCAGGGATCAAACCGCCATCTCCTGCGTTGCAGGCAGTCTCCTGAATTACTGGTAGATTCTTTACCACTAAGCCACAAGGGACGCTATATTAAATATTATCATACATTTAAAAAATGTATTAGCAATATTATAACCTAAATCAGTTTACCAGTCAATAATTATATAATTTTTAATTCCTTTAAATTGAAATAGTGGAAGTATATTTTCAAACTTACATATTTTTACAAGGTTACAGTTATATATAACCAACATAAAACTGCTTCATTTCCACCCAAAAGAAAGTTAAGCCATAATTTTTACATTTTTTTAAACATATAAATGTAATCACCAAATAATGCCAGCACCAAGTAAGTACATACACTCTGAAATACTATTTTTAGGTTGGAATTAGCATAAGGCATGCCTAACTTGGACTTTCTTGGTTACAGAAGTAACAAAAAATCTAATTATAAAACTTACAAAGTGACTTTCATGGACAGAAACATCTATCATCTATCCTAAAAATTCCTGCAGTTTATAAATGTAATCAATGCTATAAAGTCACATTTAAGTTGCAATCTAAATATTATTATTAATCCTTCAATAGTAACTCAGTATTCAAATTTCTAAAATGCGGTTGTAGGAAACCCAGGAACTTTAATGAATAAAAGTTAAAATTTCTAAGCTAAGACATTAAATAGATCTCAAAACCATAAAATGCTAAAAATCACCAAGACATGTGACTGAGGAGGGAAGATTCAGATGAACCACTTAACTTGTATACTTTCAAAGTATACGTTATCCCACATATGCATGGTGTATAGGACAGTGATTTGTACACAACTGACCTACACATTCTGGTTTGAAACAGTGATGTGCCTCCAAGTTTACAGCTACCACAAACTAGATTTTTTAACATTTGAAAGTAATGACAACAATAATATTTAAACACTTAGTACTCAATCTTCTAGCAAGCCCTAAAACAAATGTTTTTCATAAATTTTGTCAAACAGATACTATTATCAATCTGTTTTACAAATGAGGAAACTGAGGCTACAGAAGTGAAATAACTTGCTAAGTTCCCAAAGACAGTAAGTACTAATAGAAAAGCCAGACACAGTATTTTAGTTTTGATTTTGTAAAAAGCAACAAGTTAGGGGTAGAGGATTAAGAACTACAAACTGCTATGTATAAAACAAATAAGTTACAAGGATATATTGTACAGCAAGGGAATATAGCCAACATTTTATAACTATAAATCAAGAATAATCTTCAAAAATTGTAAATCACTAAGTTACATACCTGCAATTTATATGATATTGTAAATCAGCTATAGTTCAATAAAAAAGGCCAAAAAAAAAAAACAAGTTATTTCCAGCAACTCAAAATCAGACATAAAATCTTTCTGTAGATTAGACTGAATTATTTGTACATAAAAGCACCTCAGACATTCTCAAACATCTGGTAAATGGGGTTACTGCAGTGGAAAGTTATAAACACAAGATCCAGAGTTGGTACAGTGTATCATGTAGCCCAATTCCTTTATTTGATTAAATTTGAATGCTTAAGTCTACATAGAAGAGAAGCTAAATGATGTGCCAAAATCATGTACCTCCGGGAAGGGGCAGAACTGGTACTAGAAGTCTGCAAGTACTGCCTCTACTTGTTTACTGCATATCACTTTTAAAATACATGTCATATGAAATATATGCATAATACTACAATTAATACCAACTTTCACATCAATTATTTGCTTGGAGAATTGTTTTGGTATTAATGAAACACTAACATTACTATGAAACCTTGGGCAAATAAATTACTTAACCTCTCAGTTACTCATTATCTTCATCTGCAAGAGAGTGATAGATAAGAACCCTCTCAAATGTTAAAAAGCATTCTAAAGTATTTACATAACACATTCTCAAGTATTTACAGCAGTGTCAGACACATCCTAATTTCTCAACACAAATTGTTTTTACTGCTGTGGCTGTTGCCTTTCTCCAGTCCATCTCTGTTTCCTTTCAACACATGGAAAATACATGAGAATCAGACTACTAGCATTTTTTTCTGCATAAATCAATTTGCTTGCCCTTGAGTGGACAGATGGTTCAATCTCAACTGGCCTATTCCAAGAACTCTTCTATGAACATGTACAAAGAGTCTCCTTCCACTTTGATATAATGGGACCTGACATGACCATAAGAGCTGGGTGCATCTAATGTGTTTTTCAATAAATAACGATGCCCACCATATTATTCAAATGCTTTCTACTAACTGCTATTCGCACTAAGGTTTAGGTGTCAGAATTTAAAATCTCAGGACATGTTATTCTTAAATTTTCAGCTTAATTCAAGTCATATTGAAATAACAGAATAAAAAAGGTCTGGATTCAAAATATGACTCAACCACACACTAGCTATGTGATCTTGGATAAACTAAACTCTCTAAGCCTCAGTTCCGCATTTGTTTAGCCGTGAAAATACACTTCACATAATTGTTGCATGAGTTAAATGAAATCATACATCATTTGGCACAGTGTTCAACAAATAATGAAGTGTATAATAAACTATAGAACTTATTACTACTATTACCAGAAAACACATGTAGTACAGCAATACTTCTCATATGGAACACATTTCTTTCTACCTTCTTATAAAGAAACTGTTTCATAATTTTAAAATTGGAAAACAAAATTAGCTTGCATTTTAAACTGAAATTGTATTGCTCTCGTTTCCTCCAGTATAAAAAATAAAGCAAAATACTCTGACAACTCTTCCATTAAAATAACCCTGTAGGGCCTCTAACAGCAAAGGAAGTTTAGTTTTATCAAGTTCCAAACTTAAGTAGAAACCATTCGGCCACCACCAATAGAAACCTCTATAATATACTGGACTATTCAACTTGAGATTAAAAGGGTTTCTTCTAGAACTCTAACTTCCAAATATCCTAACTGAAAAGACAATTCTGAAATATCTCAAACCACCACATTTATTGCTCAAAAATAAAATTACTGAAAAGAAGTACACTTCTAAAAGCACTTTTATTATTTAATGATTAAGTTCTGGTCTTCACGGTAAGTCAATAGTCATTCTAAACTAAATACTACTCAAAAAATGACTATTTGATTGTAAGATTTCTATAACAAATCATAACTGTTGTAAGCCATTTCTTCCTTATATTCTTTCAAGTTAATAATATATGAACACTAAAATTTTTAACAGTATTGTGCTCATCCAAGTAGATGACAGAAAAACTGAAATTCTAATTGTAAATGCATCACTCGTTTAAAACTGTGTTCAAAACCAACTTGATTCTCCTAAAACTAAACTACGGGGGCTGTTGAGGACAAGAAATTGGCTGAAACCAAGCTTACTCACAACCACACAAACTGCTGTTGAATTTTGTGTGGTGACAATTTTGTCAACAGTGACACCCAGGCCACAGAGAAAGGAGAAAACAGTCGACAATGGGCACCACAAACCAAAAGCCTACTGGGAAAAACGGAACATGGAAAATTCAGTGAGTCACAGATTTTACTTAGTACAGCGAGCGCACCATCAGCAAAACTGAATGCACCATCCCAACTTTCTCTTAATCCCCCAACACAATATTCAAGAATTAAAACTATTGATGCGGTCTAGATTTGCTCTTCTTCTGCCAGGCCTGTGACACCCACTCAATCTCGCCCTTCCCTTCACCCCACCGTCGCTCAAATAAGGACAACGGCAGAAAAGAGGCTTCTCCAAGCAGCACACAATCCACGCCCACACGCCTGGGCCGAGCACTATGACACTGACAGTTTTCGGTCCCTCCCGATCTCTCCAACTCGCGGCGCCTCCGCACACAACTCAGCAAAAGATGACAAGGGTAGAACCCACGCAAAGCGATGGCTTACTGTAGGACCTTTTGACCCTTCGCTCGGACAGGGAGGTGGGCCAAAGGAACGGTCCTCAGCTCAACCCAGTCACCGCACCACCACCCCCGCCTTGAATCTCCGAAAAAAGGCTGGGGAACCAACTCCCCTCCGGGGACAGAAAGGTGTCTCCAGCACTCCAGAGCCATCCCAGCCACTGCACCGAGAAACCAAGGGGATCAGGCGGTGAGACGGGGTCAGCGCTCAGCCGGGCAGGAGCGCCCGACTTAGCCGCCGCCGCCGAACTGGTAGGCCACTCGGCGGGAGGCGGAGGCGCCTGGGAGAGGCAAGCGAGGTAATCGGCAGCGTATTTCCCAGGGAAAAGCTCAGCTCGCCTCCCTTCTGCCGAACCTTCCCGATGACCCTCATTTTGAGCCCTCTACCTTCCAATAGAAACGGGCAAAGCCCGGCGCTGGCGTCCACCTCGGCCAGTTTCGGCCACCACCGCGCAGTCCGCCTCCGGAGCGGACAGCAGCAGCCAGTGACAGAGCGATGAGCCCGGCCAACTCCTTCCCATCAAACCCCGCGCTCCCGCCGCCGGCCAATCGGCGCCGCGGCCGGCGCGCGCCGCTCCCTCGTCACGTGACCGTGACTAGGGCGGGCAGTTGGGGGCAGAGGCAGGCGGTTGGCGGGAGGAGCTCTGTGCATCCCTGTGGCTTCCGCAGCCAAATGGGGTGCTCGTCGTCGCGTCTTACAGGTGGAGTGTCATTTGTTTTGACTCTTACCAATAGTTACTTCTTACTCCTCCTCTGCCTCCTGTTTTTCTTTTGGAACCTGTTCTGCAAAGTCTCACTGGCCAAAGAAAACCCCGAAATTGGTCCTGATGGCCCTAGACCGCCGCGAGAGAGAGGAGTGGGTTTGACGGTGGAGATGGGTGCACCTGGACACAAGCCCGCCCTGAAGAGTGCGGGATCAGCTGTCATCCAGCCGGCAGCGGAGCCAGTTAATACTACACAGCTTAGGAGAGACGGGTTCCCAGACAAGCGAGTGAAGAAATTCAGCCTGGACTCCAGGAGTGCTGGAGACTTTTATGACTCATGGACTTCAAAAAGGGTCCTTTGATGACTGGGCCGCTTACCTCACCATTATGTGGTAAACGTCAACTGCCCGAGGATGTTGCTTTCAAACCGGTGGCTTAACAACATAAGCTGAGTTTTCTATCTTAAAACGCTTAAGAACACTCCCTTGGCAGGTCTTGGTACTAGGCCCACGAATAAACCACCTAGGTTTTATTTGCCTCAGATTTGAAACGTTGGCTCAAGTGCATTAAATTTACTAGTCAACTGAGAATGACAAGTCTCAATAACAAATAGTACTTGAATCACACAAGGTAATGTTGGAGAAGCATAGAGAAACTTCAGCAAAAGTTCTTGTCACGATTTACCCCTGTGTGCAAACATTTTTCATGGGATTTTTCTATTTTATTCAGTTACATACACATTTTAAGTGCCCATGGGATTTTAAAGAGTATAATCGTTGTATTATGCTATCTTTGAACTTTGACAACCAAACAGGTAAATTATGAAAAGAAAGCATAATATTTAGTTGGTAAGAGTAATTTATTATATTGGAAGCTACCAGATAATTCATTGTAGAGTTGCTTAACTGCTAAAATGTTTAGTTACAGCTTTGTAAACATGAGGGGAAGGAAACCAAAGTTTCTTCTCATACTCTGGGTAAGACACTTTACATATCTAAAAGAAAATGAAACATTTCATTTATTTTGGTATGGAAATTTAACTATTTTGTTTTTCATCCTTTCTTATTTTAAAGATTTAAAAAAGGCAACTTAGAGAATGAACTTTTGGTTACCACGGGGGAAGGGTAGTGGGAGAGATGGTTAGGCAGTGTGGGACTGACATGTGCACACTGCTATATTTAAACTATATAACCACCAAGGACCTATGTAAAGCGCAGGGGACTCTGCTCGGTATTATATAACAACCTAAATGGGAAAAGAATTTGGATATGTGTATGTATTTAAAATAAATCATTGAAAGGCCTGTGCAGTTTTGCAAATACAGCTCCTCACCTCAGGACAATCTCTTTTCCTAAGAGAACAAGGAAGAGATACTTTCTATTTGCTAATGATTTGTTTTCTAGTTTTAATTGATCCATCAAGACTTACTGAAAAGACAAAAACAGGTGGGGAAAAACAAAAGAGCTAACTGGGTGCAAGAAATTCCAGAAACCTAATCCTGAGACAAAATGCCTAAGGTAGTTGATACAGAAGAGGAGAAATTTGGCCTGACAAGGGGAGACAGAGGAGTATTAATTAGACCATTAACTTTTTTAACCTTCCCAATAATCTTTTAAGGTAATTATCAGTTTTCAAATGAAACTGGAAAGAAAAAGGAACTGAATAAAAATTATACATATATTGTTGAAAGTAATGCTATCCTTCTATATATCACTGCCTCCTCTTTATCAAGTGGTAAGAGTTTGTAGGCAAAGTGAGAGAAGATATTAGAAACAGAAAGATCAGCATATGCACTATATGGCTGAACTAAGGCTCCAACAGTCATTCCAAATATTTATTGAAGACAAGAGCATGTGTTAAGTGCTGAGAATACAGAGATAAGTAAAATAGCTGCCCTAAAGCCACTGACCAGAGAAGGCAGTGGCATCCCACTCCAGTGTTCTTGCCTGGAGAATCCCAGGGACGGCGGAGCCTGGTGGGCTGCCGTCTAATGGGTCACACAGAGTCGGACACGACTGAAGCGACTTAGCAGCAGCAGCAGCAAGTCAACAGATGAGCCACATTTATTTAGATAGATAAATGAAAGTTGCAAGAAATAGGTGCTCTGAGAGCTTAGAGTCAGTCATTTATCTGGTCAGGAAAGTTAGGTAAGGCATGCTTGAGGAGGTCACCTGGAATACAGATCTGAAGGATGAGAAACTGAAGAAAGGAGAAAAGGAAACAGAGGAAACAGTATGTGTACAGCCTTTTGTCGGGAATGAACAATGCAAGCCCAGGGGTCTGAAAGGAGTCATTGTGACTAGAGCATAGTTTGCAGGGAGAGCAGACTAAGCAGGACTTGCTTGGCCATACTGAAAACAAAATGGGGTAGAGATTTAACGTGATCAGATCTGTGTTTGGAAAAGATTATTCCAGCTGCAGTGTGGAGATATGAACAGGGTCCATCTTGGACCAGTTAGGATCTTTGAATCATGGCTAATGTTGGTAGTAAGTAGTTAAAGTGGATTGGGATGGGCACTAGGAAATGGAGACAAGTGGGGAAAATGGAATAATTTAGGAAGTGAAATAGGTCTAGGGAATGGATTTAGGTAAAGTAGAGTGGAACGAATGGGGATTGAGGGAGAGGAAGGAGTCATGACAGGGTATCTGGCAGGCACAGTGGATGGAAGCAGTGTTCACTGAGGTGTGGAGAGTCAGATTTGGGTGGAGATGGTGGCTTCAGTTGATTTCAACAGGTTGAGTCTCAGATGTTTTCATGACTTCAGGGCGAGATGTCACATAAACAGATCTATGGGTCTGCAGCACTGAGAAGTCTGAGCTAGAGAAAAAGTGTTCGGGTTTGTAATGTGTTCTTTTTCACAAAGTACTTATTTTTTCAAAATGCAACTATTATAAGTATTGTGGAAAAACAAAATAAAAAGTATAAGTCTCTAAAGCTGTTTGCCAAACTTCTTTTCAAATTACCTGGGGCCTTCATTTAAAAAAAAAAAAAAAAAGTTCTCTAGTATGAGGCATCAAATTTTGGAATTTTAACAAGTTCCACCAGTGAGTCTTCTTCTCAGGGAGTTTCTCTGGGCGGTGGCACTGCAGTGCCAGAGGCCACCTGCATAAGAGTTATCCTGCTGCTGCTGCTAAGTTGCTTCAGTCGTGTCCGACTCTGTGCTACCCCTTAGACGGCAGCCCACCAGGCTCCGCCGTCCCTGGGATTCTCCAGGCAAGAATACTGGAGTGGGCTGCCATTTCCTTCTCCAATGTGTGAAAGTGAAAAGTGAAAGTGAAGTCGCTCAGTCATGTCCGACACTTCACGATCCCATGGACTGCAGCCCACCAGGCTCCTCTGCCCATGGGATTTTCCAGGCAAGAGTACTGGAATGGGTTGCCATTGCCTTCTCCAGAGAGTTATCCTAAGTGCTTATTAAAAGCACATCCCTTTAGGGATGCGAGGACAGGAGAAAGGAAGATGATGCAGCACCAGGTAGTCCAAGATTTCACCCTCCATCTTTGACAGAAGTGTCCTATGTGCTCCATCAGGCTGTTCAGAGGAAAGCTGGTGTCCTTTGTTGAATGATGCAAATGTAGGCACCAGGCAGCCCTGACAGGCTGCTGTACCAGCTTTCCTGGCTCCTAGCCCAGGCCTCCTTCCCTGTCCACTGACATGGTGCTCAGCGTACTCCAGTGCTCTTTTTTTCTGCCACTCCCATCAGACCTTGTCCTTCCCTCCCTGGGGGAGGTGTTATGGGTGTTATGCTCCATATACTCCTACCAATTCAGAGGTTTCTTTTAGCCAATCTGGCCAGGGTTGAGAGGGAAATAGGTTCAAATGCTATGTTTCACTCTCAACAAATTCTCAAGAACTTAATTTGTAAGCATTTTGTTTTTTAAAGACTGAATTGTTTGTTCTCTGTGTAGTCTCACTGTAACATCTCTCTTTCTTTATGAAGCACTGTAGATGTAGAGGAATAATCAGAAAGTAAGAGGGGGAAAGAGATTAGAATTATTTTTTAATAGGAAATATAGCAAACAGATGTATACTACTTAAAGACTATAACCCAAACACTCATGTAACCCACACTGGGTCAAAAAGTAGAATGTTACCAACACTCCAAAAGGCCCCAAAGTGCCCCTTCCTTTATAACCCCCAAGTACCTAGGGTTAATAAACACTATCATGATTATTAAAATATTGACTTCCTTGCTTTTCTTTATAGTTGTATTGCTTAATTACTCACTCAAACAGTATATTTCATGCCTGGTTTTTAACTCAATGTAAATTGAATCATAGAGTAAATTTTTTTTTCATGTCTTGATTTCTTTTACCCAAAGTTAATGTCTTTAAGATTCATCCATGTGGCTGTAGGTTTTTATTCACATTTCTTTCATTGTAGGTATTAATTTCAGGGAGAATAATATCCTTCAACATGAGCCTCCCCTTTCTGGCTTATGGTATGACTCCATATTTATTCAGGTGTGGCCCATGTGTTTTCCAAAAAAATTTTTCATCACATGAGTTTCATACCTTTATAGTAGGTAGAATTCTAAAGATGGCCCTCCAAGATTCCCATCCCCTGATTAATCAATAAAATGATAGTCTAAGTACTGCTGTGAAGGATTTCTACAGATGTAAAAGAGGTAACTCTGAGCTCAAGAGAATCCAGGCTCCAGGGACTGCACCTTGAAGGATGTGTTTGGGTTGGAGGGCCCATGTGTCGACCAGGAGGTGAGCAGGCTCCACTCTAAAACTAGCCTCTAGAACCAGCTTTCTGACCTGAGGCTGTTCGGTGCATCCTTGGTGGACACAGGTGGCAGATGCTGCCATGCCTGGGCCCTGCACCAGGCTAACCGCATGCTGTTAACTGCACTTAGCTGCAGCGTGCCTGGATTTCTGATCTACAGAACTGTGAGATTGAGTGTTATTTTAAGATGCTAACATTGTGGTAATGTGTTACAGCAGCAAAAGAAAATTAATATGCACCTTTCTTATTGAGCAGAAATCTTCTTGGTGGCTTATCAAGTAAGCCTTCACTTGAAGTAGGATGATAACCACAGAAGTCACACTACTCAAGACCTGCAGCTGAGACTGCTTCACCATTTAGAATCCAGACTGAAAATGCACCTGTATCTACACCTGCCTCTGAAGCTACATTTGATAGATAGACAGTATTTGGGAGGAGAGGGATGGCAAGTCAGGGAAAGCACAGCACCAAAAGCCAAGCGTTTAGGGTGCCACAAAAGGAGTTCCACAGCTCCTCAGCCTGTTTGCTCATATCACGTTTAGATGAGTCCAGCCCACACTCCAGAAGCAAATGAGCACTAAATGTGGTTCCCGTGTTTCAATAAAAGAGAGGGGACATAAAGTCTAGATA